TATATAGGTACCATATGATTTTTTTTTGAAATAATTAATARTTATGTACAAAATTAAAAAAAATTAAAATGTTTTTCTTAATTCTCAGTAATTAGAATTTTTTTTTGCTCTCGTTACTCTTGTAGTTTTTCAACAGTCTTGTCAACTTTGAATTATTATTGGGAATTGACTGTATTTATTTATTTTAAATATGTATAATTTTTTATTTTATATTTTTTATTTTACCTATAATTGTACTTCTCAACAATTWTGCATGAAGTAAATATTGAGATCACAATTAAATTTCCAATRCATTATAAATTCATTAATTAGGTACCTACTGTAACTATTTACAGATTACTGACTCATTTATTTTGCACTCTGTGAATTTGTTTAGGTTAACAAAACAGGAATGTATATGTGTTATCGGAATAGCCAGTTAGTTGAGTTTGAATCTCTACATTTCTAAGTTACATTGAATCTGTGCCCTATAGGTGTTATTGAGCACAAATAAGCATTTAACTTTCCTAAATTTACTTTGTTATTGAAAAAAAAAAGGAACCTAGGTATGTTTTAAGAAAATATATTATTTTATTTTTWAAAAAAAATGTGGGTACCTATAAAATAAATTCCAAATTAATCAAATCAGATTCATTATGTATCCAACTCACTCAGTYATTCGTAKTAGGCATATATAATTTATTATAAAATATTTATATAAGTCATTAATGACATTAATATTAGAATATAAATTTTAAATACCCACGAATAATATTTTTAAATTACAACAATGTAACTTAAATTGTTATAATGATTATTTAATATGTAATTTCATCCAGATTTGAACTTGAAATAACTATAAAAAATAACTGTGTTCGTATAGGTTTTTGATATTTTTTTTTGCCACAGAATTAACTTTTAAATGACACCTTGTTTTAAATTTTCAATCCTTAACTATAAAAGCTAAACGTTTAATAAATTTTTGACAACTAAAGAATTTGTACATTTTCAATCAAATAGGTTTTGCAAAATGTTAATTTTAATATTTAAAAAAAAAACCTTAGTAACATTTTATTTTCCAGATAAGTAGTTTAAATATTTTATCGCCTGAAGCAAATGCTTCTTTTGCACCTCGCTTAATGCAGCCCTGAATAACTAAGCATTAAGTTTCAATTTTTATTAGTTTATTATAGTTTAATATATAAATATAACATACTGTTGACTGTTGTATATATGACCTAAAAAAGAAGGCATATTATACAATTTTATAATATGCCTATCATTATGCCGAGTCAACAAAATTTCAATTGCTACTTAAGGCGATGGCTACAACGAGAGAGAGGTTTTCGATGTTTGGCAAGGTTTTGTGGTTATTTCGACGTATGTATTATTTTACCTGTTTGTTTTTTAAATAAATTTTCTGTTTATTGTCATTAGGTACTTACCTACTGGTTATTGTGTTACTTGTTTTTATTCCTAAATTAATTTGTTTTGAATGTTAGTACAGAAACGTTTGCGGTAAAAACACTTTCAAGGTGACAGKTAGACAAGACACTGTTATACTTGCTTACTCATCCAGTACTCGTTATCGTGGTCAGTTGTTCGAGAGTTGAATAAATAAATAAATAAACCTTAGAGTTATTAAGTGTAAACCCCGTTGGATTTCGTTTAATTGTCTTTTGTGCAGTGCTCGTTATTGTGGTCACCAAATAGGAGAAATTAAATAAACTAAGACTACAGGTATCCAGGCCCGGATTAAGTTCTACAGTGCCCATAGGCTGTAAAAA